CTGCTGAACGCGTAGCGCTACTTTGAAGTTTGTTTTTCGCGCTACTTCGTACGGCACTACGTTGCCTGGCGGACGGACATGTGACTAACATACCACTCTTGAACCCCAATCCTTCCACCAGGCAACGTAGTGCTGTACAACAGCGGAACAAACAAAACAAATCGTCTTACGATATGACAAAAATCATGGACAATCCATAGAAAAGCCGCTCATTTGAACTCATTTGATTGAAAAAAAAATTGTAATTAATAAAATATTTGCGAATTTTTCCAAAATGTTAAGTATCTGTTAAAAAATAAACATTAACAATAATTTTAGTAATCCTAGCAAAACATCTGTCTAATATCTAACAATAAAAAAGTAAATGGACTGGTTCTTATATACAACTTTTCTACTCTCCTGGAGCACTCAAAGCGCTCTATAAAACATGTCGCATTCACCCCATACACACCCATTCACACAAGCACTATTATCTATACAGTGAGTGCTTTCTAACTATCATTCATGCTCCAATGGATGCATTGGAGAACAACTCGGGGTTAGTATCTTGCCCAAGGATATTTGGCATGCAAACTGGGGGAGGCAGGGATCAAACCACCAACCTCCCAATCAGCAGCTGACCGGCTCTACCTCCTGAGCTAAGGCCACCCCGCAATGGATTGATTGGTATATAGTGCTTTTCTACTCTCCCGGAGTACTCAAAGCGCTGTATACTAATCAACATTCACACTCATTCACACTCCGATGAATGCAATGGATCTTGCCCAAGTCCCAAAAAATTCTGTAAAAAACTTGTTAAAAACTAAACACAGGGAGATGTTTTCTTGTCTTTTGTACATTGTGACCAACATTCAGACTCAATGTGATCTCATTGGCTGTTTGTGTTTGACTTGTATCGCGGTGAGCTCTGACCTGCTGATGCCTTTGTAGACCGAGGCAAAGGTTCCTTCACCCAGTTTCTCCAGACTCAGGTACGAGTGTGCTGCCCCAAACTCCAGACCTGCTTTCTGATCACAGCACACACACTAAATGTCACACAAGCATCACACCGCCTCACATGTTACCTCAAACATCATGTCATACGCGCCCTGACCCAGGTAAGAGGCTCCCTACTGCCCTCCCCTCTCAGTGGGTCGCTGTTGCTGCGCCCACGCTGGACTTTCAGCCGACGGGCCTGCAGAGTGTGGAACCAGTGAGACTGAGAGCCAGAGGTGGATGAGTCCGAATCCAGCTGAGACACACAGACGAGACCACATCAGGTACACATAAGGGATTGTTAATACTACCTTTAAAGCTCAAAAGATCATTTGAAACCTCAATACCAGCTTAAGAAAATCCTCAACCAATCAATACTACCTAAAATTGTCTTATCACCACCCGTGGTCACTCATATATACCACTTAACACTTCTACTGTGTCCTGGATTGCTGACTGTCTGTCAGATAGGCCTCAGGTGGTCTGAGGTGGTGGTTGGTAATACTGGAGCTCTATTCCTGTTTACACCTCAGATTTCCTATACAACAGTGAAACCAGCAGAAGTTATCTGGGACGGCTGGGTGTTTTAAGGGTGGGCAGGAGTCGGACTACAAAGAGCTAGTGAGGAATTTTGTGGAGCGGTCGGGAAGAAATCACCTCCTTCTAAATGTCAGCAAGACAAACAAGACAGTGGTTGACTTCCAGAGGAGAAAAACTGCAACCAAAATCAATATCATGGGTGAGGAGGTGGAAACAGTAGACAGCTGCAGGTAGTTGGATGTTCACCTGAATGACAGACTAGACTGGAGGACTAACAGTGATGCCGTTTACAAGAAGGGGCTGAACAGGCTCTACCTTCTAAAGAAGCTCAGGTCCTTTAATGTGAGCAGCAAGATGTTGGCGATCTTCTACTAGTCTGTGAGAGTTAGTGCCATCCATGTCAGAGAAACCTGCAGGATCAACAAACTGATCCTTAAGGCTGGAAGCACCATTGGTCAGAATTTGGAGACATTTGAGTCAAGGAGGGTTAGAGGTCATTGAACAAGCTGCTCTCAATCATGGACAACCATCACAGCTACTTCACACTTCTGAGCTCATTCTCCTTCAGACTGATTCAATCTCACTTCAGGAAACCGTTCTTGCTGTTTTCTATAAAGCTGCACACTGATTCTTCATTCTGTCACAGGTGAACAAACCTGTCAACCATTAGATCATAAACATACTTTGTATTAAACCTTCATGCAGCTGTTTTTCTTATATATTTATTAATGCAATTTGTTCTTCTCTCTTGACCAACGTCAGTCGAACTTTTACTTTTTTAACTAACTTCATTTTTACGTTACTTTATTTTTCATCACTGTTGTAAGTTTATAAATTCCTGCACTCTCACAACATAAGATCGTCACCTGTGACCCTTTTATTTAGCTGTGTTATTTGTTGTGTACTGTAGACTGTAATATTGTTACCCTTTATCATTTTGCTGTAAAACAAAAAGTTCTCCTGTGGGATCAATACAGTTAAGAAAAAAAAAAAAAGAATGGTAAATAAAAAATGCAATAAAACCAGTCTCGGTCGTTGTGTCCTTGGGCAAGACACTTCACCTACCGCCTACTGGTGATGGCCAGAGGGGCCGATGGCGCGATATGGCAGCCTCGCTTCTGTCAGTCTGCTCCAGGGCAGCTGTGGCTACAACTGTAGCTGCCTTCACCAGTGTGTGAATGTGAGAGTGAATGAATAGTGGAATTGTAAAGCACTTTGAGGGTCTCGAAAAGCACTATATAAATGCAATCCATTATTATCATTATTATGAAGTTACGTCCATTCAAAACATTAATTAAAAAAAAAAAAATATATATATATATATTTTTTTTTTAATTAATGTGTTGAATGGATGTAACTTCATATTTTAAATCGAGACAGCATACCCACTGTAAAAAGTTACAACATGCTATAACAGATTTTACATGTTAAATAGATCACAACAAAAGGATTACTCTGTAAAAAAATAAATAAATAAAAATGATAAATAAAATGAAATAATTGCACTTTTTACAGCGGCTGATGTTTTACCTGAGCAGACGGAAGTGAAGCTGAACTTTTCCTGAAGTTCAACTCCTCCATCTTCACCTCTTCCTCCTCTTCTTCATCTCCATCATAACCTTTCTCCTCACCATTCTCCTCTTCCTCAGCACAGCAACAGCACCTTCTCACCCACTGCCCGGCCTCCCTCGCCCGCCGGGACAGCTCCTCCATTTTTTCACCTTCTTCTTCCTCTTTTCCGTCTCATATGACTCACATGGTTCCGGACGAGTAAACAAGGTCCCATGACCCTCACTCATCCTTCCTCCTCTTCCTCCCCCTCACTGTGCCCAGAAGGTAAAACAACAGGTCCATTGATGTGTGTTTGCTGCCCTCTGGTGGACACAAACCATCACTGAAGCTTTTCATGTTAAAAAACAAACAAACAAAAATATCCCAATCAACAACAAGTCAACAAATAAAGACAAATAAAGAATAAAAGAACTCAAATAAAAATAAATTTGAAGCTTTTAACCATCAACAGAGATCCTCCTGTGTGCTCTAAATGTATCATACAGCAGGTCTGTACATCCAGCTGCTAATAAGAAATACAATAAAAACAGAGAAAAATACAAAAACATACGTTTCTGTTATATCCTGATAGAAGTGATGGATCTGTTTGACCACTGCAATCAATCTACTGAAGTCAAATTCGGTGTCATGGCTGGAAGTCAGTAAAACTGTACAATAAATTTTATCATAATTAGACTGTCATGTACTTAACCTCTGACAGCAGAATCCGGCCAAACAAATTAATTATAGGTATTAATTAGTTATTAATTATAACTGATTATCCAGTTAACTCAGTGACAGTCTCAGGTGATGATTTTAACACTCTGTAATACACCATAATACCTTAAGAAATGTGACTGAAGTTTAATGAGTACACCTCTGTCTCTCCTTGAACTCATCATTAAATGTAATTTGTGGCCATCTGGGGGTGAGAATGTAAATTACAGGAGGTCAGGTTCATGTGGAGCCGGACTATTTATTTTAATTTTAATTTTACTTTCAGTTTATATTTTTTACATCTCACAGCACTGCATAGACACTTATATAAGCTCTATTAGGTTTACACTATCTCGTTCAGGTATATTTAGAACACAGAAACATTTAACTCATTCACTGCCGCAGTGAATGAGTCAATGGGTTTAACTCATTCACTGCCAATGGCTGGCAGTGAATGAGTTAAATAACATCATAGGTAATAAAGCGTGAATGAAACAACTTTTGAAAACCTTCCAGCTGCTTGACAAGAGATCTGGGAATTTCCGAGATGCACATAAATGCAGCTCATCGTCCATTTAATGTGGGTACTTTAGTCTCTGAGGTTTGGTGTGGTGAGTAGAGCTGGGTATTGATCTTGATTTCTATAACTGATTCAATTCAGTTCAATTCAATGTCAACTCAGACAGTCAGAAATATTATAACTATGACCATTCATCAGTACATATCCATATTTTTATATCTACATATAAAACAAAGCTCACACTTGTGAGGCTTTATCAGAGGTGTAAACACAGCAGATGCCTTTGTGTCAAAGTAACTGAGAATAAAACACAGAAAAACACGAAGGAGATTTTCCTGGCCTGACTTTTTATAGCAGACAAAAATATTCTGCAATAGATCAAAAACTGAACTGAACTAATCAACATATGAACATTACCTGATGCTGCTGAAGTGCAGCAAAGTTACAGAGGATTTATTAGAGACACAACTAAGAGTTTTGCAATTTGGCTGGGATGACACATCCTTCATGTGCCGTGTACATACATACACATGCACTTTGTTCTTTTTCAGTAATTCTTGTGTATTTCTGGTTATAAACATTATTTGCTGTTTACTATCACCATGTGATGACATCACATTTGTTTCTGACACTTTTAAAGGTATAACTTACAGTTGATGTGTATTTTTTTCTAATGATTCTGCAAACTGATCCGGTACTTATTCTCCTGATTGTGAAAGTGTCCTCAAACGCCTCTCTGGGTGTTGCCTTCATTCCTAACGTTTTTCTTTCTGACCTTAGTGTTTGTGACTATTGCTGATCGTCTCCGTGTGAAGGTAAGTGAGGCAGCCTGTAATGTTTAACGTCAGCTGTGTGCGGCTTAGTTCCAGCACAAATGTGCCCATAGTTCACGGTAACGGATTCACAGCTGGACCAACGAGCCCGAGTGTGCTCACTATTTTCTGTTAGCCTGTGTGTTCCCTGCAGTTATATCGGACTGTAAAAAGTCATTATTTACTACAGATTTGGTTCAGACGAAGATTTAACTCTCTGGGGTCCAGGGTATAATTGGCCGTTTTTGACTACTTTTGCTTTTACCTCTATATTTCACCTTTAAAATATGTTTTTCTTGCCTTGTTTGGTATCATTATTTTCAGCACAACCTCTAATATCTGAAATTTGAGTTATTTTTTCATTTTGGCATACTATATTAGCACAGCTGATCTAAGTTCAGACAAAAAATTCAAAATCCGAGTAGAAAAAAATTATATTTTTAACTGTAAAACCCACAAACATGTTTAATGAATCATTTTCATAACTTGAAATGCAAATAGAAAATGTACATTTCTAAAAATTATGCACAAGTTTTGCAAACAACAAAGCTATATGGTACTATTTACCTAAAAATGCAGCCAAGGCCTCAGGCGTTTTTTATATAACCATTTAAATCTATTTACAGAACAACAGGTGTGCTGCATCAAATAAGAAGGCACACAAATTACTTGTGCCAGTCCAAAAAATGTAGTTTGTGTTCAGTATAAGACAGAGGAGAACACCAAAGGCCTAAACCCTGCAGGTCTGACAGCAGGAGGTGCATCAGTCCAGTTTTCCATGTGGGAACAGCGCTTACACTGGAATCTGCCTTTGATTCAGTTGTATATAGCATTCGTATTCTATTTTTATCTTATTGTATATTTTTATTCTATTTTATTCTACTGTATATATTATTTTATTCTATTCTGTACAGCTGTGTACTGTATTTATTCTTATTGTATTCTAATTTTTGCGTCATAACTTTTGCACTGTCCACTTCCTGCTGTGA